TTCTTTCTTTTTTCACCGCTCCATCTGCAATCCCCTTTCCACCCCAACCATCGTTGCACACGGAAAGGGAGCTGCCTTTATAGCGGCCCCTATAGCTGCCTCTATATCTGCCTTCATACATCTTACCAAAATGAACGTAATATTGAGTATAGACCAGAGCACCCAGTCGACGAAGCTGGTTTTTTTTAATGAGGAGTTGAATGTTCTGTATATGAATAGCCTGAACCACGAACAGAAGTGTTTCAAGCCCGGCTGGTACGAACATGACCCTGTGGAAATAATTAATAATCTGTACACACTGATGAATGATGGTTTGAGGGCTCTTAAAGAGAAGCACAAAGAGGTAGTAATAAAATGTATCGGAATTACAAATCAGAGAGAAACAGTGATCATATGGGATAAACTTACAGGCAAGCCCTTGTACAATGCTATTGTGTGGCTGGACACCCGAGTAGAAGACATCGTTGCTCATTTTTCAAAGAAGTATAATAATGATTATTTTCAGAAAAAAACGGGAACATATTTTAATACCTATTTTAGTGCGTTCAAGATTTTATGGCTAATTCAGAACAATGCAGAAATTAAGAAGAAGGTGAAAGAGGGATCCGCCATCATCGGGAATATCAACACTTGGCTGATATATAATTTGACAAATGGGAACAGCTACACAGATGTGACGAATGCTTCTAGGACGCTTCTTATGAATATCCAAACGTTACAGTGGGATGAAGAATTGTGCAAAATGTTTGGTATTACAAATATGTCCGTTCTTCCAGAAATCAAATGTAACAGTTTCAATTTTGGGTCGGTATTATCTGAGCAAGTGCCTGACTATTCGGGTGTACCAATTACGGGGTGTATTGGGGACCAACAAAGTGCATGTATAGGACAAGCTATTTTTGATGAAGGAGAAGCTAAGTGTACCTACGGTACTGGAGTCTTTTTACTTATCAATACAGGGTACAAAGTGGTGTATTCTTCTTGTGGTTTAATTACAACGGTGTGTTACAAATTTAATGAAAATGATCAGGCGAAATATGCTTTGGAGGGTTCCATAGGTACAGCAGGTTCAGGTGTCTCATGGTTGATGAAGAATAATTTAATTTCTCATCCTACTGAAGCTAGCTATATTATGGAAAACTGTGAAGATACAGGAGGGGTCGTGTTCGTGCCAGCTTTTAGTGGTCTTTATGCCCCCAGGTGGAGATCAGATGCCAGGGCATGTATAACGGGTATGACATTCAACACAGAGAGGAAACACATCGTTCGGTCCCTCCTAGAAGGCATCGTTTTTCAGCTGAACGAAATTGTCTACTCGCTCCTCTCAGACATGGGCATAGAAATGCTCCATGTTTTACGCTGCGATGGAGGAATGACCAAAAATAAGGCATTCATGCAATTCAATTCGGATATCATAAACACAAAAATAGAGGTGTCAAAGTATTCAGAAGTAACTGCACTGGGAGCTGCCGTGCTGGCTGGGCTCGGGGTCAAAATATGGGAAGATTTAGATTCCGTTAAGAGCTTAATACGGAATAGCGATTCTACGTTTAATTCTAAAATGGATGAAAAAAATAGGAAGAAGAAAATTTCTGAGTGGGATAAGGCAGTCGAGAGGTCACTCCTGCAGATGTAGCGGCCAATTGCCCCTTTCAGCGACCAGTTGCACCTTGCTGCTTCGCTCCTCCCCCACGTGCCCCGTTTTGTGCACACTCCTCAGCTTCTTTCTCGTGTGCTGTTACTACACCTGCGCCGCTGTGCGAATGTATATGCATATGTATATATATACGTAATATTTCCGTGTTCGTTCCTTGTACCAGTACCACATTTAAATAAAATAGACGCATCTATTGCACACGCGTGTATGCACCTTGCAGATATCTTTGCGCAGTTCAGTCGCCGCGTATAATTCATCGAAAAAGGAAGAGGCATCTAATCAGCGCTTGGCCTACTGACGGGCCTGAATTTAAAAAAAAATTTCTTTTTTTTTTTTTATTTCCCTATTTATCATTTTAAATGTGGACCCGTTTTGATGAGATGCAAAGCAAACCATCCCATTTAAAAAAGAAGAAAATTAAGAATAGCCAAATTGTGAACACTGATTTTGCCACCAAGAGGCCCATTCTCGCATAAATGCGTTTATTACCCTGCAGTATGCTTCATTGCCTGCCTACGAATTTTCCCCGTTCGAGTTTTCCTTTAATTTTCTGATCGCGAAGAGGGAAATTTCATAAAACGGCCTTTCACCATTGATGTACGCGTTAGAGAAAAGGGAAGGGATTATTATTTTTTCCCATCAAAGGTGGATAGTTTGGCCGTTTACCAGCGCCTGTAGGCGTGCTCTTTATGGAGGATACGCTGGAAAGCGCAGTGTGGTTAGTTTATTGGTCGGTTGTTCAGCTGGTAAGTTGCTAAGCTGCTCACCTGTCCACTTTCCCCCCGTTCAGCTGATTTTTAATTTAATTTTCCTAAAAATCAGTGTGTAGAAATTTAGCCAACATTTCTCACTATCACACGCGAGGCGAGGCACTAACGTTTATGCGGAACGGTGAAAGGACAGCAGCGCGGAGTGATTCTACTCTTCCCTCGGGAGAAAATAGGAAAATGTAATTTTTCATGTTGCTGTAAATGTTGGAAAGTGCGCTCAGGTTAAGAAAAATTCTCTGATGAAGACGCGCAAAGAGGAAAGAAGCAATTGTGTACAGATTTTTATCAAAATGTGCTAATGTTCATGTAAACTATTTTAAGGGTAAATTTCCGTCTTCCCCTTCTGAACGGAAAAGTAATCGCTGACATGGGTTAAAACCGATGCGGTGTTGTTTAGTAGGAGGCGGCGAAACCGTTTGGATGCCTTCAGATCAGAAAGGCACCCCGAATATGAGAAAATGTGTACGTTAACGCGCACTCATACACGTGTATACGCAGTTGTGTACGCCTTACGTGGGAACTTTTTACCAAATTGGAAAGAAGAATTTAGCCTCCCCCATCCAGTGTAGTACATCATATACATATATAATGTACACACCAATTTACGCCCCATTTTTCTTGTGTTGGATAAACGTGAAAAAAAACTGTATAGAAATGAAGAGGGGGGAAAAATCGCCACAAATCCAAAGCGATGCAATTCGTTTTTTACGCGTTGAGCCATTGCGGTTAAACATTTTCTGCGAATTTTACTTCGCATTTTTGCTAGTAATTTTTTTACTGTTCACCTTTTTACTTTTTCTTTTTCCCCTCTTGCACATTCATTAGTGAACTTTTTTAATCGTATTTTTCCCATTTTTCAGCCCATTCTGTTCACTTTTTGCAGTGCGATTTGTTCTACAACGTTTCGATGGGCAACAACGGAATATCTGCAGATTTGGCGGTACGACCAAGTTGTCGCTTGCAACCCGTTTTTCTTTGTAACAGAACGGGATGTTTCGCTT